GTGGCTTCCAACCCTGCCAGCCAGAGCCAACACAAGTTGAGATAGATACAAAATCCTAGCAGAAAGACCGAGATACTCGGTAAATATTTTCTCTCAGCTTGGGAATCGAACTCGGGTCTCCTCCAAGAAACAGCCAAACGCCTGACCGCCACGTCACAGACGCCAAATCGTGGTCACTGCCTTCACCTTTCTCTCCCCCCCAGGGTGACGTTTCCCTGTCATCATCATCATCATCATCATCATCATCATCATCATCATCATCATCATCATCATCATCATCATCATCATCATCATCATCATAACAAATAATCTGACCTTATCTAGGTCAAAAGATTTGCACTTCATGCCTTAACATCATTTGACAAATGTCTCTGAGAACCAACAGCAACATCCACAAACCAACCACGCCGCCCACGAGGCAAACACCCCTCGTCGTCACTTGTGCTCATGTTGATGAAGTCCCCACACAGAAGACGTGGGTGGTTGGCGGGTGCTCTGGTATGGTTTGCTCCTTCTTTCCTGTCAAACCATCTATCGTCCTTATCTCCCCTTTTTCTTTTTTTATGTTTGTTACTCTCTTGTGACACCTCTAGTCTTCTTGCGCTCATATGACCTTATGCAGTTGCGAGCGCCGTAAAACCTCTACTAAAACTAACACTGAAGACATCTCCTACAATCTGTGATTGATAGCACATACACGTTCTTTGCTCCCAGTAATAAGGTGTGCGTTTGAATGATCCCAGGGGGCTCTCGTGGCCTAGAGGTTAAGGTGTTCGCCTCTCATTCAAAGGTCCTGGATTCATTCCGGGTAGCGACCGAAAAATTTTCTTTCATAAAATTGTCTGCTTTCACTTCTTTTCCTGCTCTCTTGCAATGTTCTGTCGTCTGCTTTCGTCTCCACTTTCTGCCACCACCCCCACCTCCTTTGCCCTCTCCTCTGGGTTCCTGACTCTTTCTGCAGCCTTTCTACTGCTACTCCTTGGCTGCTTCTTACTGCCCCTGATCTTCTGGTAGGAAAGATCTACACGTAGCCTTCTCGGACAAGGGCGAAAAATGTTAGAGGGCCCGTGTGCTCTTTGCGTACGTTAAAGATCCTTTGGTGGTCTAAATTCGATAAGAGTAGGCTTCGGCCGCCACCAGGGCAAAATTCAAAATTTCCTACCAACTGAAAATGTTTGGTGTGTCCCTCGCGCTCATATGACCTTATGCAGTTGCGGGCGCCGTAAAACACTTCCCCAAAAAACAACAACATACAAACAAAAACAAAAAATGCGCAAAGTCTCCACTAGGACAACCCCCCCCCCCCCATAGTCGTAGTCACTTACCACGGGTCACAGAGGATCCTGAACAAAACGACTAACAAACATAACAACTAAGACCTGGCATGCCGTCAGAATTAAGATAAAAAGTAAGTCAGCCAATCGTATTGATTTTGTCCTAGAGCACAATAACCTTATACTCCAGGAACAGAATACACACCCTTAATAAGGAATATGAGACAATGCATAACAGTTCAGTTGCATGTGTTTTTGTCTTCTTTATTTGTCAAAACATTTCGGCTTCACCTCTCTCTCTCTCTCTCTCTCTCTCTCTCTCTCT